CACAGGCGATTCCGCAACTTTGAGTGACCATTCAACCTCTTCTGGATGTGAAAACTGTACTACAACGCTTTCCTTGCTAATTCTCTCCGTTTCCCTCTGGTGACTCTCCTTTCGCTTCTCATCTCGTAATCTGTGTCACCCCAAGTGAATTCGTGTTTGGTCCTGGCTCCAGTATTCGTTCGTGTTCTCTCTGAACACACAGTAAATGTTTTTGCACAACATTGCACAAACTCCGGTAAACACTCATCACCACACACATGCATGCTCTCGGTCAGTCACACTACGCCGGCGACTCTTCTGCTAGTGAGCTGCCCAGGTGCTGCATGAATGAATAAACGTGGTCTCATTCTCCTCATGTGTCAGTTGTTATTTTTTTCACCATAAAGTCTGGCAAATTGCAGTGATTTGCAGTCATAAATTTGTCATGCATAAGTTTCCCCTCTGACTCCAGCAGACATTCCTCTCTCAGCTGGCACTGCTGCGACTACTTGCAACACTAATGCATGAGACAACCGGATATCTCCTGGAGAGAGCCAGAGGGGTGTGTGTGTGTGTGTGTGTGTGTGTGTGTGTGTGTGTGGACCTGTCATTCTTGCTTGAGTGATGCTGATGTGAGCTGAAGTGGCATGACTGTGGCTCTCTATGAGGGAGGTATGGCACAAAATCCAGACTGGTGTGGGGTATGTGTGTGTGTGTGTGTGTGTGTGTACGGTTTGGCAGACATCAGATGAGGGGATGTCATGCCCTTCAGAGTCTCTCACACACACAAACACAAACATCCATATCCAACAGCAGTGAGCATGAATGGTCATTCAGCTCCAGCCAGCAGTATGAAAACAAGTCAAAAGGAGGAAGAGGAGGAGGAAAAGGGTGGGTGGGGGTGTGGGGGTGAAGGATGGGGTCTCAAGCCAAAAGAAACATGGTGGGCTCGTCTGTCCTCCTCCCTGTCCTGACGAGCACCCCAGGCAAATATTCTGTGAATGAGAGCATATTTTGGGGGGCTACGCTTCCATTTCACTCTGCAAAGGAGGAGGAGGAGGAGGAGGAGAAGGAGGAGGAGGAGGTGGTGGTGGTGGAGAGGTGATTCATCCATGATGTCATACGAGATGAAAAATTTTAAATGAGTCTCAATGTGCAAAAGAGGACGTGAATTTTGGCCTGCTTCTCGGTCTGGTACTTCTATTACTGTACAACAGCGATGCCTCTCAGCCTTTTTAGGCTAAGTGCTCACTCACACTGCTCAGGTTTCTTTTCACTGCTTGTTTGCGTCTTAAAAGAAAATTCCTTCGTAAAGGAACTTTAACTATGATCAAGATTTATAGTTATAACCAAATCTAATTTTTAGACTATCTACTTTATATTTACTATTAACTTTTAAACGTATTTACATTCTGTAATTACTTCTCAATACAGTAGTATAGAGTTTGTTTGTTTTTTGTTATAGTATAGTTTTCATTGTTAGTTGTTAGTATTAGTTTAGTATTAGTTGTTAGCCTTCCACTAGTTGATTGATATCAGCCTCACTGTTTATTTTTAACCAAGCAATGAATAAACAAGGCTAACAGTTTCCCCTATTTCTAGTGTTTATGCTATGCTAAGCTAAGCTAACCGCCTGCTTGCTTTAACTTCTTATTTAATGGACAAACATGAGAGCGGTATCAATTGTCTCATCTAGAAAGAAATAAAGCAAATTTTCCCATTTTCCCAAACTGTCACGTCTACTATTTTTCTACTGAGGTTAGCACGCTAACCGGCTAGCCTCGGCCCGTCTGGTCACCTTCCCATAGCGACTCACTGTAGCCTCCAATCTGCCCTGAAGACGTAGCGTTGCTCACAGGGTTGATTATAACCTTGTCTTGCAAATGCAACGATGGCTGAAGCTCTTGCCAATTGAAAAATCACCACCACCCGCTCCTGGAAAGAAACCACATTTGGCGGCAGAGAAAACTTACAAATAGCACCTTTAACTGACGACATGCAGAGGATATGATGAGCTGGGATATTTCCAGTACAGTGAGTACAAAGAAGAAAAAATATTGAAGCGTCTTTATTCCTCTGGTTTATTCATAGAACAATTTAAAAACTGTTCCTGGAGCATAAAGCCTCGACTTGTTTTAATATTTGTGCTTGAACACGTAATAATGACACTTTCCACTTTGTTTAGCAGCTATATTGGTAACCAGGCTGACGTGTGTGGGACACAGGGCCTGGTCACAGTCCTTTGATCTCTGGCAGCAAACCCGCCATAATGAGGTGACTTTATGATCACGGAGAATTTATGCTTATTGGATATAACAGTTTTCAATTCAACAAATTATGAGCCATGCTTTTCTAAAGCTCAGCTCTGACATTTCCTCAACTTCTCATATGGCAGGCAAACTGTTAAGTGAGGGTTCTTATGAAGGTTGCCGTGGGTGTGACACATACTCCAAAGGGTTTGAATTACCTTTGAAGTGGCGGTTAATCACCGTGCCGAAGCAGTTTTGGCTCAGTGGCTACAGCTGGTGAACCAGAGGAGTCGATATGGAGCTGGGGTCTTTTTGGATGACGTATTTCCACGAGGCGGGACGGCACAACGGAGTTTGATAGCAGAAAATGTCGAACGTAAATGGTAAATGTTCGTCAGAAGAGATGAGCAAGGCCTTCTCTCAAGAGCCAGCACTTTGCACCATAGTGAATATTAAAATCAAATTAAATTAAATTTGAATTAAAATTCAATCAAAAAGTTTTTGTGCCTTGCAGATGTGGGATAGTTGGTGTATCGAGAAAAGAAGCTTCTGCTCCACTGGAGAGACTGAAAATAGTGGCAGATGAAAACATTGGTTTTGTGTGGAGCAATAAGGAAAGTGTAACAACTGTCCAAGGTTTGACTTGTTGCACTCTCTTCTTCTGCAGTGGTTTAATGGCACCTGATTTGGAGAATCAGCACCACCAAGTGTTTACCATGATGCACTAATTTTACACTTTCTATAAAATTCGGTTAAAATTTGCATTACATTTGGATAGAAACCTACCTTGTGATAACACAGGTGCAGCCTGAACTCATTTCATTAACTGAACCACTGGATGTTGAGCACAGCTTTGTCTCTTTTGATTATTTTACTTCCTGAACTTTTTGGAAAAACCTCGAAAGTGTCGAAAAAAATGTAAATTTCAGTGAGCGACACTTTAATCAAGTAATTGATCTGTTGTGACAACTGTAGCTACTTCCGTCGTCATGGTTACTACAATAACGGTTAAGGACATGGTTAGGTTTAGGCACTAAAACTACTCGGCTAGGTTTAGGAAAAGATCGGGATTTGAAGTGCTTGAAGTCCTCATACCGTTAAGTAGTTTGTCATTGTCATTGAATGAAAGATTGTTGGTAGCAGATTGGATGTGAACAGTTGTCTCTGCACACCCACACATCTTCCCTGACTTCATTCTCAAAAGGTTTTGTGGCACTATAACAACATCAAGCTACTTTCAGGGTCCCAGATCCCAAGGGGCCGGTTGGAAATCAAGCTTTAGTCATTGCTTCTGAAAGAGAACAGTCAGAAATCGCACGACCACAAGACGCTGCTCGTCAGGAAAACGTAAGCAGTGGTCGTCTTACATGTTTGATCGGATGAATGATGCTGTTGTCTCTCTGGTGAGGACAGTTGTTTCAGTTTCAGAAAAAAAAACATTTCCACCATCAAAAGAAAACACACAAGAGCAGCAATAGTTTTTCTAACTCCATGAAAACCAATTAGACAACCTCATGCTGAGTGATAACTGCATTTGATTACTCCCAGGGAGGAGACAGATGCTATCTGGCTCTTTCGTTGAAGCTGCACGACCTTTAAACACTCCAGTGTTTTACTGAAGGGGGTCCCAGTCCCAGCAGAGTCCTTTATCTCTCATGTAGGACATGGTGGTGTCAAAGAGCCCCTTGTGACCCCCCTGAGGACCAGTAGGAGGTATTTTAATAGCTGTCTGACCCATGGTGGCTCGAGCCTGCTGCCATCTCTCACACAGGGAAACTATTATGCTCCATCAGAAACACAGAAAGCAGAGGAGACTCTAACAAAATGTCAGACGGTTCTTTTTTCTGCCGTTGGCTGAGTTCTCTGTAAATGAAGCTGTAAAGCTACAGAATGACAGTGTCTCACCTTGAGGCCGGACTCCCCACCCGCCCGCCCATCAGACAGTGAAGTTCCTGCCCTAACACTTGTCACTCATCTGGATGAGCCGTCAGCTATCCTGAGGCTGCGATAACCATCTTCTCTTAGGTCTGCAAAATCTACAGTGGTGTTAGTGTTGACTTTTTTTTGGATCACTCAAAGCTGATAAGAATCTGAGGCGGCTTTTCAAATCTACAAACAGTTCACTCCAGCTAATACTGACATATAAACACTGGGACAGTGTCGGTATTCTAATGTTAATGGGTCGGTTCACTCAAATTACAAAAAAAGTGAGGTAAGGTATTTGCTTATGTTTTTTAGTGAACTTTGTTCTTATTGAACTTTGACACGCAGACTCGTACTGTTGACCATGCAAGCTGAAAAGAGAGTCTAAAATGATTATGCTATTAGCTTATTAGCTGTGTCGCACCTTCTACTTTCTACTGAGAGAGAATTAACTGCTCCACAAAAGAGGAATGATTCAGGACCATTTAGATAAAAACACACAATGCCACAGATGGATATTGATAATGATGAGAAATTGCATTTTTCTTTTAAACTTATTGCAGCTTTAAAACTCTGATACTGTAAGATATTTGCCTCTGAGCCTGATGATGTTGCATAAATAACTTTTACTGTAAATATATTTACAGTAAAAGTTACCGCTCTCATGGGAATCTCTTCTCTTCCAAACTTCGCCTCTAATGGATACTGGTAAGTAGTTGGTCTGAGAGGCTGCATGGCTCTCGTTGGCTGTGCGCTCCGAGGCGTCATCATCTGTCATCCAGCAGGAGCGCCTCATGCATGCGTCCTTCCCCGATCTCCTCCCATTGTGGAAACAGCTGTAGACCGTGAACCGTGGAGTGCGGCTCTGACACGGATTACCTGGACACCGGCTCGGGAGTCTGGGTGGGCATCAAGCAGCGAGAAATAGATAAGGAGCGTTTCTTTGATTCTCATAAAACGCACATAAAAGTTTCACAGAGTTTCTTTTTGAATGGGACTATCTCCTTGAACATCAGCCATGGCCAGCCGGCTTTTCCACTTGCTGCATTTATTTCTGATTGTGGAGTTCAGCTCGGGTAAACTCGTCTCTGAGGATCTTGGTGGAGCCGTGCGTCAAGGTGCTGATGTCGCACCGGCGGTGGATCAGCGCGTCTTTGCGCACGAGAGCGCAAACCGGGACATGGTCTCCGTCAACATGTTCAAAGTGTACGAGAAGTACAGCAAAGAGCCGCGGAGCCAGAGGGACGGAAACACCGTGAGAAGTTTTAAAGCTGTCCCGAGTGAGTGACCGCACGAGTCTGCACGAGCTGTGTTATCAGACTGAACAAACCAGACTTATCCAGTCATTAATATTAATATACATTAACGTTAATACATGTGGGAAGGGAAGTCTAAGTCAGTACATTATTTTATATACATTATCACTACTTTCTGCTTTATTAAAAACCTTTTATCTTCAGCCTACCTTTATTTTTATTTTTTTTATTGATTAACGAATATTGATTGGGCATTTTGTTAAAAAAAAAGACTAAACAAGTTTAAAAGACCAACATTTCTCAGCTTTTTAAAATACTGAAATACCATGTGTTTAGTTTTTTAAGCATATTTTTGTGTTATTCAAGTCATAATAATTCAACTGATATCCACTTGCTCGTCATTTTAATCACAAACAATAGAAAGTGGTTAAAAGTCAATTTTTATGTCCAGAAGCAAAAATAATAAAATATAATAAATTATAAAAATAAGAAAAAAAAATACAGAACATACAGCATAATGATTTTCTGCTTTACCTTAAAACACATTTTGAAGTAACATAACCATTTTTATGGCACTTAAATGTAACTCTAGATTTATGCCATGTAAAGAATGCTGTGTATGTCAATCTAAATCTCATTTTTGTTCAGCAGACTTTGCTTGTTTTAGTTACACTTATTTCTGTAGCAAAAAGGCCGAAAATTCACATTAAACTTGCAAAGTCCAATTTTTATGCATGAAATAACTCCTCGTAAAAATATCTGATCTTAATTAGTTCAACAGTGGGACGTCCTAAATGCAGGGGGTTTTGTCAATCACGCAGCAGCTCTGGATTCCCTTTGGCCTAAACATCTTCACCTCCATGCTCCGTCAGTGTTGTGATTTACTGAACACGGGGACTTTAAGTCTCAAGCACCGTTAGCTCCCCGGTAGCTGTAACAGCCTAGGTGTTAGACAAGAGCCTATTATCACACCCAGACAGCGGCTGCACGGCGAAAAGCCTCAGAGGAGCTCCTTCTCCTATAAGCATTTCCATATGCCTACTACAGGCCTACTGGACTGATCCAATGTTTGTCTTTCAGGCTGTGGTGGAAGTGTGGGAGACAAGGTTCAACTTCAAGAGTATAGTGATCTAGGATGAGGTTTTTTTTTTTTTTTTTTTTGGTCATGCGTGAGGCAGCCACTTTACTGTGCTGCACTTAATATTTTCCATGCTGCCGCTTATGTCAGTCAGATGTGTTGAGAAACATTTTGTGGAAGATATATTGGCTTCTGTTATTCATGGTCAGTCAAACGTGCCAGAATGAGATGATAAAGCCGAGAAAGAGGAAAGAGGGGAAAAGGTTCAAGGCAGCAACTTGATCGCTTCGGTCGTCTGTATTGTTCGTTTCAGAGAGGGGTGCTCCTTCAGGGCTTCAGCATCTGTTTGACAAAACATCTGTATGATGACTCCTTTCTTAAAGCTATTAGATATTAGAAAAAGCTTGGAATGAAAATGTTTTTGGTTTTTTTTTCAGTTTTCTCAGACGTTTTACAACTTGAAGAACTTGTTTTTCTTGTCATCCGTTTCATTCTTCTTCTAATTTCTTTTCAAATCTCCCAGGAGTCTCACATGGCAAAGAAGTGTTCCAGTTCAACCTGTCCTCCATCCCAGACTCAGAGCTCATCCTCTTTGCATCGTTTCACTTCCTCTACAAGCGGCCCCGCCAGCACCAGCGACCGTGGCGTTTCCGAAGGCCCCGCCACCCTTCCGGTGGCCTCCATCATCCCCATCCTTCCTCCCCACTGCTCCTCTTCCGTGGATCATCCCCAAACTCAGCTTTTGCAACACCGCTGGGAAACATAACTCTGGCTCCTTTTAAGAAAGGCTCTTGGCAGTCGAGGGATGTAACGGCGGTGGTGAAACACGCCAAGGATGTCAAAGCGCTCGTGGTAACAGTGGAGTTTGATACAGAGTTTGGGGTGTCTCGGATGCAGCAGAGGAACCCTCACGGACAAGAGCGCCTCTCACCAGCCAACCTGCCGTATATTCTGGTATACGCTGACGACCGAGGAATAGATGAGCCAAACAGTGTGTCCATGTCACTCCAGCGGTACGGGCCCTTCCCTGTAGGGGACGACGCATCCTCCTCAGCCTCGAGGATCCGGAGGGAGCTTCACCTCCAGATCCAAACAAATGACATCCCCGAGGTCCAGTTCAACACCTTGAAGAATCACGAACTGTGGCAGAACACATATTTCCCAGCTAAAGCCAAAGCAGCAGTCAAACCGGGAAGGAAGCAGGGCCAGGAGAGCAGCGAGGGCCTGAACAAGCCACAGGTGCTGAGCTTCGATGAGAGGACGATGAAGAAGGCGCGGAGGAGACAGTGGAGCGAGCCCAGGGTTTGCTCCAGGAGGTACCTCAGGGTGGACTTCGCTGACATCGGCTGGAGCGAGTGGGTTCTGGCGCCAAAATCGTTCGATGCTTACTACTGCGCCGGGACCTGTGGGTTCCCCATCCCTAAAGTGAGCATGATAAAAGATTACACTTGGATTTAAATAAAATAACTTACAGCATGCATGTGTTCATGCACTGTATCTCACATCAGGACTTAAATAAACTGTAACTTCTGAAGTTGGATGTATTGCAGTGTGTATCCACATTATTAGATACTTGCTGGCTTAAGTTGAACATTGCTGTATTGGTGGACACAACTACACAGTATTTACTTGTATTTTTTTAAAGAAATCTCTACTTTTTGTGAGTTGTGGACTGAGACAAAGTTAAGTTTTATAGAAAAGTCCAGATTTGAATGGATGGGAAATGGACTGAAATTCACCCATTCATACACACACTCACACAACAGTGGTAGCAAGGTATCATGCATGGTGACAGCAGGAGCTGGGAATCAACCCTGTGATTTAAATCAAAAATCCAAACTACACATTCAAACTCAAAAGCAAAGAAAGAGTCCAGATGATCTGTCAATAAAAAAAGGCAAAAAATCAAAGAACACTCGAAATATTAAAATTACAATAGATGTAATATTTTACAACAGTTCTCAGTTTGTGTTCATTTGCTTTAATAAAAAATGCCTTTTGCTGTCACTTATTGTCTCAGGTGGTGCGGCCCTCCAATCACGCGACCATCCAGAGCATCGTCAGAGCTGTGGGAATCGTCCCCGGCGTCCCTGAACCGTGCTGCGTTCCAGAGAAGATGAGTCCTCTCAGCGTGCTTTTCCTCGACCCAAACAGGAATATGGTTCTCAAGGTTTACCCCGGCATGTCTGTGGATACGTGTGCCTGTCGGTAGGGCTGGAGCCACTGATCCGTCAGAAGGACATAACTATAGATTGAGGTTACAGCAGGAAGACACTTTTACTTTTCAGATCGAAGGCCAGTCGTGGTCAGACACTGAAGGCAACTGAGACAGACTGGAACTAAAGTGATATGACTGTCAGGGCTGTTGTTCCAGAGTCTCCGCCTGAATAACTTTTTCTCTGAGCTCTTGGACTTGTTTGGTGTCTACCGTGGTTTGACGTTGCCTTAACTTTTTCCTGCTTATCTAACAACTTCCATAGTCTTTCTTCATTGGTCCACCATCACTTATTTTTCCTTGCTCTTAAAGAAAACTGTATTTATAATTCTCTGTATTGATTAGCTGGATGTTGGATTCTACAGAGGTCCAGTAGGTACATTTCTTTGATACTTAATAAGCTTTTTCTTTCCGTTTTTCTCCTGTTTTAAATTTGGAAAGATTTATAAAATGATTTTTACCTGTTTTGTTTTTGAAACGGATTTGATTTGCTCTGGTCTCAGTCTTGATCAGATGATCTGGGTTTCAATGATTTCTGAAACCTTCTGACATCTGTATCCTCCGCTGCTTGCCTCTGTCTTTCAAATTCAGACAGAAGTTTGGACAAACTGATGAACTGCACATTGACTCACAGACTCAGAAGGGTTTTGGAGACAGAGGTTGAATGGCAGCTCATTTACATTCCACCAATTAAACCAACCCTTGTTGTGTAAATACTGCAGCTACTAACTCAAAACTAAAGGGTACTTGTTTCTAAGTGATGTGTCACTCCAAGTGGGAGACATTGAACGCCTCCCATATGTTAGCAAGAAATGTTATTCATGCATGAGAGGTAATATCGTCTTTGAAATATATTTCAGTAGTCATTTGTTGATATCTTGTATATAATGTGTGTATTTTGCCACTGAGAGTTTAAGTAACAGAACCACTGTGTTGCATGTTTCTGCTACAGCAAAGGGAGAAAAAAAATGGTGCGTTGCTGCCACCTGCTGTGCATTTTGGGAAAGTTGAACGGACATAATTTCAATTCAAAAAGTTTAAGTACTTTCTGTGTTTCCCCTTAATACATAAATACTGTTTATCCAATTGTACAGTTTGTAATATATACAGTAATGATGAAAGATAGACAAATGTATCCAACCTAACTGACTGTATGGCTAAAAGTGTATTTGAATAGTTTTATGTGTGCTTTAACAAACAAACCACAGACATAATGTATGCTTGGTATGGAAATAAACTGAATTGTATATACAGCCAAAAATAAATATTGGCTTTATTAGGTTTTATAAGTATATAAAGCTACACGTCTACATTTGACATATACTGTATCTTAGCATAACATACTGCATAACAATATAATATATAGTAATATAACATCCACCATACATATACATTAGATATCAACACATTAGATTACATATATTTTATTTTAAGGCTGATATTTTGGTTTATTGGTGTATTGTGCTAATTGTTTATCATTTTTTATTTTTTATTAAATAATAGGTTTTTGGACAGTTAAATGTGTCAAATGCCATGATTATGTTTTTTCTCTGAGTTAAACTACAATTGAAGTACTGAAATTGAAATAGAAGTCTCTCGTCTGTAGACAAAAGTGATTGTATTCAATTTTATTTTATTTTATTTTTAAAGGTCCCATATTGTATAAAGTGACATTTCCATGTGTTGTTTGATTATAGATCAGGTCTAGGTTCTATATCAATACTGTGAAAGTATCAAAGCGCTCAGTCCACAGAGAAATCCACACAGCCTGTATTCAGTAACTGAGCCCCGAGCCCCGAGCCCCATCCACCCGGACCCCCCATCCAACCTTAAAGGATTTACTTTCTCTGAGTGTTTACCTGAACTTTGCTATATTTTTACTCAGAAAACCGTAAGCCAATCAGAGCCTCCTCTCTTCTGATTGGCTCACCGACCTGTTGTTACTAGAGCTCCAGAGAGAAACCCGAGAGAGGAGATGTAAAACTACACTGAGATGGTTTTTGGTTCTTAAAGCTCTCATAGATACCAACACTTCAAATAAAATACAGTAAAAGTGTAAAATATGGGACCTTTAACATACAGTTTTGGTGAACATAGCAAAGCATTTACACATAGCAAAGATTTTTCCCTAAAGAGTTGGTGGAGACCAAAAACAGATATAAAAGAGTGTGAATACTGGACTCATATTTGCCAGGTTAGGGTTAGAAACAGGACCACCAATGTTGCTGCGTGTATCCTGGATGTGTAAATAGGCACGTTAGCCATATCAACTTTACAAGGTGATTTGTGGTTCTTCTCCCAAATAGCTAAAAGTTAATGCTGCTTCAAGGAGCTGTTAAAAATAAAATAATTAATTGGAGAGTTTTAATGTTCCATGGTGGTCTAATTGCTGTTTCAAAGCCTTTTGCTCCCTGATATTCTGAAGGAAACACTTGGGTACTTGTGAATTTCTTGACCTGAAAACAGATAAACATTGAATATAAGGAGAGAACAGTGGCACATTTGACCGTGCAGCCCTCAACAAATATCAGTATCAGTCATCAAAAACCACAGGCTATTGGCCAAACCCTCTTATAATCTAACAGGATTTTACTACATATTTCTCTACCGTGTAATGAGATGACCACAGTTTCACAACAGAACTTTCTCAGTCCAGTTTTGACCCTCTGTGTTTGTTTTCATCCTGCGTGCCGACATTATTTGCTGTATCCATGCCAGTAGATTTTGTCATTGCCTTTCATCACTGATTGACTCCAAGAAAGCACAGCCAATGAAAGCATTTTTATGAAATGCCGCATGGGCCGAGTACTGACTGACTGCATGGCTGAAAGACAGAAATTCCAAGATAGGTCAACGTCCCCAGACACATCAGCTTGTGGTTCAGGCCTCAAAATCCCCACAGGAACCTAGGAGTCCCACTATCCCGTCTACCATCCAGGACTTACAGAATGTAGTGATGAAGGCCTCCACCTTCATGTCTTTGAATAGAAATCATTTCTGCTCTTGTACCCGTCAGATTTTACAGATTCCCATTATTAATCTTTATCACTTTATGAACACTTTTCCATGAGTTGTTCTTTTGCCCTGAAGCATCCTGATGTTCACAGGAAGTGATTCTCTGTTTATTGTTTTCTTGAAATAAATATAAGAAGAACTGGGCAGTTAGTGATGGCCACCATGGATGAACAGAACACTACAAAGGGATCCGCTAACATAAACTCAACTGCATCCACTATACAGTGTACCACACACTGACAGGGTCGGAAGTGCAGTACAGGAAAAATTCATTGACTTTTGTGATCCCCTGACTTTTACCAGCAGGTTTACATTTATGGTTTTGAATGAGATTTTTATGCCCCACCAGGATATATTAAAATAACTTTGGTATTCCATGACCTTTCCTCTAATGCCTCCATCAAGTCAAAATCTTAAGTTGGCACAGCACAGGTCAAAGTTCAACAAATTTAAACTTTCAAAGCTTATTCTGTGATAATGTGAATATGTTTTCAGTCATGTTAATTTAGTCTAGTTAACATAGAGTGACATACTGCCCTCTATGTAACTGATTATGAGAGGTTTTTTGAGATTATCTCTCTTGAAAATTGCACATTCCTGTGCTTATTTTGGGTCTCTCAAAGAAATTATCTTCCCTTATCAGTACTATTAAAAGTGTGTGGTCTACAATGTGCAGTGGTTGGATGCAAGATAAAAAAAAAACTGGAAGGAACACGTAGTAATAATGGTGGTAAAGAATGCAATGTTCTGTTTTGTTTCTTTTAAGCAGTTTTGTTTCCACTGGCCTGAACAGTTTCACCCTCAAGCTGGGAAAAGGCATTTTATGGAAATGTCTGCTTGTCAGTAACCTCACAGTTTCCATTGCCTCCCTCATTATCGCCGTCAAGTGTTTACAGTGTCTTCATTAGCAGCCAGCCCTCTAATGATAACAAAGCTTAAAAGAAGGCATCAATGACAGTGATAAGCATGGCCAAGCTACTATTTTGGTTGACACAAGTCCCCCTGTTTACTCTGGGAGCATGGGAGCGGACATCAGGACTGTTGTCCTTGCATGGGGGATCTCCATTTTCAAACCTTGCCATCGCAAAGTCTGTTTTCACGCCGGGAAGAAGGTAAAGATTGTGCCAGCTCAGTGGATTGGAGAGGATATAATTTCAAAATGCTGAGCTTCAGAGCATTTCTATTTGAGGTGTGTTTGAGTCTGGTTGTTTCTACGGGCTCCTGTACCTGTAAACCTCTCAATAATGATATCCAAAGCGAGGACGCTGAGGGATTCTACTCTCAGCTGTCAGAGGTGGACCTTCTGGAGGAGGAAGATACAGACTTGAGGACGGAGACCCTCCTGGGTACCATGAAGGAGGGCTTTTTGAGGAAACTCAACTTGTCAGATGTTCCTCAGGAGCACAGCAAGATCTGCCCTCCACAGTTCATGATGGAGCTCTACAACAAGTACGCTTCGGACAGCTCGGCAATCCCTCAGTCTGATGTCATACGAAGTTTCACTGTCCAAGGTGAGCAGCATTTAACTTGTCAAGAAAGAAGTGAGATCATTTTCTGTCAAGTTGATGGGAGTGAGATATATATGGGTAATTCATATCATTAAAGCTGCAGTAGTGGTTCCCAACGTTTTTGGCTTGTGACGCTTCTAAAACCCTCCTCACTGTAATCAAAAGCGATCTTTGTTTGATATTTTTAAAGGCCTTAAGATAAAACATAAGAAGGAAAAAAACAATTAAAAATAATTTTTAAAAAAACAACGTAATTTTGTGTAGCAGAAATCTGATATCCTTGCAGACCTTCAGATTTATCTTGTGACCCCTTGTTGGGGTCCCAACCCCCAGGCTGGGAACCATTGCTTTAGAGTATCCCAGAGCATTTTCTTTCATTGAACAGTTGCACAACAGCATGATAGCCTAAATTCTGCCCCCAAAGACTAAAATGCTTGGATCTTTTCTACAAATGACCAAATAGAAACATACCTAACAGTTACTCAATCCCACTGTATTAAAGTTGAACTGAAATTTGAATTCTCCTTGCTTTATGTGTTGAAATGTCTTTGTGAAAATTGTGAAAACAGTGTGCTTCACAACTGGAGTTTCCCATGGCAGTGTTTCACATTCGACAACCACTGTTGCTACGGGACAGGCTGTCAGAGCCCTGTATAGCCTACAGACAATGATATAAAACATTTTTTCCACTTTTCAACAAGCCCACGTAGCGTTGGTTATGTACTGTTAGCAATTTAAGGAATCTGTCCCTTACAAAGATCAACATTTGGGAGCTGGACCCACCATCATGCTGTTAAGTTTGTATTCCACCCAAAAAGTGGAAGCTACCAAGCTAGGCTAACTAGCTTCCATGTTGAGGGTGAAAGCGAGTTTAGTTTTAGCCTTAGTTTGCTGACATAAGCACTGATTCCCGTTAGATGTTACATTTGGTTCATGTTATTTCAACATCTGCACGGCAGCTCCTGCACACTTTAGTTTTTGTCCTTATCAACAATAGGCGGGGGTCTAGCTAGTGTTAGTCGAGTTAGCTGAGCAACTGCTGAGTCAACACCTTATAAGTTACTTAGATTTGACAACCCACAACATGGAGTGACAAACACACAAGTCTAGGTGTATATATATATAACCAAACACCAGGGATATAGGGTGCTGATTTCTTCTGGAAAATAAACTTTAAGTTCAGTCCGACGTCTATGTATGTAACCCCAAGTCATACTGTAGAAATCACAGCTGTTTCAAATGAACCCTTTCATGTCTTTGATCTCTCCAACAGATATCACTCTCTTTGTGACAAATGGCACAAAGTCAAAACACAGGCTGCAGTTCAATGTCAGCATCCCCAGCCATGAAAAGATCACCACGGCTAAACTACAGCTCTTCTTCTTCCCGGATGCCAGGGCAAGGGTCACCTTCCACAGTTTCAAAGCCACCGTCAAAGTTTATGAAGTGGATCACAACGATTTGACATCCACAACCCAGCTGCTGGTTGGCAAAGAGATGATAGGCTTGCAGAGTATGTGGACAACGTTTGATGTAACCACAGCTATTCAGAGCTGGATCAAGTCAAGCAATGGAGCAACTGTTTTTGATGTAGTGGTGGATAGGAAGGACTGTGGGGCTCCTGATGGTGGAGAGGAAGGAGCAGGCTGTTTAAATATGAGTGTGTCTGTTGGAGATAACACCTCAGCAGCTATGATAGTGTTCTCAGATGACCTGGGTAGCAGGAGGAGGGAGACAAGGAAGGAGGTAAGAGAGATGATCCTCCATGAAGAAGAAACCATCTTACACTCAGGCGCCGACTGGAACAGAGAAGAGGAACTTCAAAATGAGATCCCGGAAGCTCAGCATCCACGAAGAAACAAAAGAAAGGCAGAGCGGGAATACTGCCGGCGGACCTCACTCAAGGTCAACTTTAAAGACATCGGCTGGGACAGCTGGATTGTGGCGCCTCCAGAATATGACGCCTTCGAATGTCGAGGCCTGTGTTACCACCCGCTGACGGACGAATCGACCCCATCCAAACACGCCCTCATCCAGACACTGCTCAACATCAGGGACCCCAAGAAGGCCAACATGGCATGCTGCGTCCCCATCAAACTGGACCCCATCACAGTCATGTATCAGGAGAACGGACGTCTCACTATAAGATACCTGTATGAGGAGATGAAGGTGGCAGAGTGTGGCTGCAGGTAGTTGAGGATGGTCGATTTGCTCTTGTTGTAGCCCAGGTGAATGTATAATGAATAAATAATATGAATAAAACATGTCCAGCGTCTATTACATCAGTCATATTTTATAATAAGACCTAGAGTCAATAGCCATGCTAGCAGTTCTGATAGCAGCTCCGTGTCCTGATATGCAATGATAATAAAGCATCTATATATCTATACAAAGTACAGCTGAGGCTGGGAATTTCATACGTTTTCCAGGCTATAACTGGATCAAAAAGTGCTAGATGAGAAGACAAACTTATTAAAATTCATCCTCTGCGGATCATGAATGTGCATACCAAAAATTTACAGCAATCCATCCAATGGTTGACCAGATATTTTAAAAATATATCAAATTCATGGTGATACGAAAAGGAAAAATCCAAAAAACCACCAAAGTCAGTAGGATCCATCCTCTTGGGGTCATGAATGTCCACACAAAGCATCATAGCAATCCATCCTGTAGTTGCTGAGATATTTCAGTGTGGACCAATTCACAGACCAACATTGCCATATCTAAAGCCTTACCACTAGCATGGCTAATAGAATTAGCTGTGCTGAAATTACATATACTGTATGAATATTTTTACACTGTAGCCTTGAAATAAACTCAAAAATAGTGAAATGTCTTGAATTCAGTGTAACAGAAGAACCACCAACAGGTCAATTCTTTTCGTTTCCAAATGTATATTGATGTGCTGAAATAGATCTTATTTAGAACAGTTGACCTTTGCTAAAATTATGTCATTTTTCACATGATAACACTATCCAGCAGAAAACCAAAGGACACAGACATTTTTACATTGTATATTTGCTGTATGTAAAAAGCTTGCAATATGTTGGCTTAATATGTTTTTAGTTTCAAAACTAATAAAAATACATTTTTTGTAGGAAATACTGTAAAATGGACCAAAATGTTTAATATGTATGTATATATATATATATATATATATACATACATTTATATATAGTATAATATATATACTGTTGGTTAATCTTAAGCAGATCCATTAATAATGCAGTGTTTGTAAAACAAATAAATTGACCAGTTGGCATTAATAGGATGGCATTTAATGGCACAGCTGTTCATCTGCTAATCCCATGCTACACACAATGTAAATCTGTATATTGCTATTGTAAGTGTTTATAATAATATATATATTGTAGCAGTCTGCAAATTACTGCCACACAGACTTGTACAGAAGGTTCTGCTTATACAATTAGTTTTTGCATGCTACATTGCTGCTGTTGCTTCTACCATAGGAGAAACTGTGTAGAAAGTTCTGTATTGCTATGCAGGGCAGCTGTAGCAAACGTCAGCAGTGGACATGACTGCAAGGTCTGTATTCATCTATATGAGGCTGACATTCTTACAAATCGGACAGAATAATAGCTTAACCATGCAGTTTCAATCTGCCAAATGCATAATAAAATCTGCTTTCCTCTGTGTGTTAGAGCTGCTGACTCTAATATAACTCAATCCATCTAGCATGAAGTGGAGAGTTTTTACAGTGCTGTATGTCTCATGATGTCTACATTTCCATTTTGAGGTTTTGATACAGTTTATCCCGCACTTAGTGCATTGCATAACGTTTTGGCATGACATAATGTCTTTTTCTGTCAAATTCCTACCCCTTTAACTTCCGGTGGTGACTATACAGTAGTGTACCAAGAGACATAAAAACCACCAGAGACTAGCTCACCAAATACAACTCAATTGACACACAAGAACACGTATTTCCATCTTTATTGTCTCTTTTTTTTCCTCGTATCTTAGTACCTGCCACTAAAGAATCAAGGTAACACGTTCTGATGATGGCGGCACAGCTGGATCAGCTGTTATTCGGCCTTAACAGCTGTATTTCTACTTTTAATGGTCTGGAATTGATGGGTATATCCACTGTCAAAATAAAAAGAAGGATGCAGTTACCACCACCAGCACAGATGTGTTGTTATCATTGTCTGTCCATGTTTACTCATAAAAAGTTTGTTTTTTATACTGTGTGCAGATCTGTTAAACAACATTGTGTATAAGGATACTGAATGCACACGAAACTGTTTTGTTGTGGATAATAGCCCTTGTAGAATAAACATTAAAATAGTGTCCGTATGTGTGGATTAGCATTACATTTTAAACACACACTTTTATGGGGCGGGATGTTTTTCCACTAAATAAATTAAGTAGCAGGGGGATGAGTGAGTCCTGCACCAAGTTACAGTTGTGTCCCACTCCTCATTAGATGACAGTGAAAAAAGCTGTACATCGTTGTATTCTCTCAGCAGTGACTGGACACTGTCAAGTAGTTAAAGGAAGTGTGAATTTCTCTGGAGATATGTAAATAGATTCCCGTGAGGCTGTGAGTTTTCTTTGTCGAGTTGTTTACTTCAGTTTTCTTTTTGCCTCTTATCTATAAAAGTTTTTAAGTTTAATGTCTTACATACAAGTGTTTTCACTTAGTTTGCTACCTCACTTGACTTCAATTTGAAACTGTGCATGGAGTTTGATGACCCAAGAAAGTTCCCAGCATAGCTTTACTGACCTCAACCACTGAGTTGGGTGTAGCTATGCTGCCAACTGCTACGCTGAGACCTAATTACCAACTTTTTTTTGCATGGACTCCTACCTGCATTTGATCCAATGCTCATTATCCATTTCAAAGTCATCCAGTGCCAAACAATGTGCTGCTCTTTGAGGTCTTATTCTATACAATAAAGCCCACAATATCATTTACTGCCAAAATAAAAATACCAAAAACAGAAAATACACACTAACCTCCAAACTGCAACAACCATGGATATAAACAGTGGAATGCACTTAGAATTAAATGATCCACTCACAGTTGGAATAACAACCTCCACACCTCCACATTTCACACAATTGCATTTCTATTTGTAATTGTATTTTAAGCAAGTTAGCATTTAGGGATTTCCTTGCTGTTCTTATATTTGACACATGAGGACAAAGTATTACAGAATTCAGCATTTCAAAAGTCTTGATTAGCATCCTGGGAATTGGCAAAGAGGGGATTGTGTTATGTAATGCATGAGGCGGTATTAAAAGTTAAGACATTAAGATTAGCTGAGCACAGGGCAGAGATTACATCCGGCTTCATAATTCTGAGCTGCAAAAATGTCTGGATCAGGGTCTTATGAGGTCCTGCACTGAAGTCATTATTCATGTCAGGTTCAAGCTCAACATACAGATCTAATTCTTCAAATTAAATGAAAGGGTTACAACTTGTCCGCTTGGCACTTGGGCAATTAAATGTTATTCAGGGGGACATTTTCCATTTAACACTATCCACTAAATTAAAATATGTCACTTTTGATTAAAGAGTATACCAGGAAAAGCAATATTATAAAGCAAGGCAGTAGAAAGAGGGAAGTAAGCTAGTAATTCAGCATTCAGTCCAGATAAAAACTTTACAATCAACCTTTTGTTCCCCAGAGTGTGGGTATGTTTTTTTCCATTCTGATCCCGCATGTGTTTTAAGAAGGCTTTGCCACGTGTCCACAAACTGTGTAATCATGTCACCAGTGGAGCGACCCAGACATGACCCGTAAAGCTACCAATGGCACCAAAATACACTACCCTAAGCTTTCATAACAGACAAGGGAGAGGGAGTGAGAGTGAGGGGAAAAGAGGGTGAGAGTTTCTGGTTAGGCTTTTGCACCCATCAGCATATTTCTCTATTTCTTTGTTTCTAAAAAGAAGTTTGAGGTAGTATATTACAACACAGGGGTAATTGCAGATGCAGATGCAGGCTGTAATTCAAGCCTGAATAAGAAAACAGTGTAATTATAATAAGTAGTAAATTGTTACACTAAGTATTTTGGACAAAGACAAAGCAACTGTATAAGAGTTCAATTAAAGTAAGAACTGAAAAATGTAATGTACCATTTTTTTTCTCTATCTGCTATTGTCTGCTCGCTGATGCACCACACTTAATGCGATTAAAGGTTTATTGAGTACAAAAGCCGCTTATGTTGATGTGGTTGTTGTCCAAAAAAACCTACCAGAATGACAATGTTCCCTCCTACAAAAACCACCATCTCTTGATACAGACAACTTATCTAAATACGCCAGTGAAAGGGAAGACTGAGTAGTTCTCTTTCTGAGGGTAAAGATGAAGACAGTGGTGATGGAGCAACAAACGCCACCACTGCTATTCATACTTCTTCTATGTACCTTCTCTGCCAACTCATCATTCCAGCCTGCCCTGGTGTTGGAAATGGCCAAGATTCTGCTGGAAAACTACTGCTTCCCTGAGAACCTGGTTGGGATGCAGGAGGCCATCCAACAAGCAATCACCAGTGGAGAAATACTGCAGATTTCAGATAGGAAGACCCTGGCAAGTGTGCTCACAGTCGGAGTACAAGGGGCACTGAACGATCCACGGTTGACTGTCTCATACGAGCCCAATTTTGTCCCAGTGACGCCACCAATGCTGCCATCTCTCCCCATAGAACAACTGATCCGGCTGGTGAGGAACTCTGTGAAGCTGGAAATACTGGAAAACAACGTTGGCTATTTGCGAATAGATCGGATCATCGGGGAAGAGACAGCAGCAAAGCTTGGCTCCCTGCTGAGGGACAACATCTGGGACAAAGTTGCTCTCACTTCCTCACTGATTTTGGACCTGAGGTACAGCACAACTGGACAACTGTCCGGCGTTCCCTTTATAATCTCCTATTTCTCAGACCCCGAGCCCCTCATTCATATCGACACAGTGTATGACAGGCCCTCGAATACAACCATGGAGCTGTGGACCATGCCATCAGTGAAGGGAGAAAGGTATGGAAAGAAGAAAGATGTGATTATTTTGACAAGTAAGCGTACTGTGGGGGCTGCTGAGGCAGTAGCATATACACTAAAAAACCTAAAGAGGGCCATCATAGTTGGAGAAAGGTCAGCTGGTGGGTCAGTAAAAGTCAAAAAGATTAGAATTGGAGGATCAGAGTTCTACATAACAGTTCCCGTGGCAAGATCTGTCAGTCCAATCACAGGTCAGAGCTGGGAAGTAAGTGGCGTTTCCCCAACAGTCAACATCATCGCAAAGGAAGCTGTGGCAAAAGCCAAGTCCCTTCTGGCTATAAGGAGTGCCATTCCAAACATTGTGAAGAGTATCTCTGACATCATTGGGAGGTTGTATGCTTTCACTGATAGAGTTCCAGCTCTTCAACAACAACTCCAATCTACAGACTTATTCTCAGTCACATCTGAGGAGGATCTGGCAGTCAGACTCAACCAGGACCTCCAAACTGTTTCCGAAGATCCAAGACTGATCATCAAATACATGCAAGATAATGGTGCCATTGTAGAGGAGGACCCTGAGCTTTACAAAGTTCCTGATGATCCAGAATTATTAAGAGCGCTGGTTGATACAACATTTAAAGTGGAAATTCTCCCAGGCAATACCGGTTATCTCCGCTTTGACAAGTTTGTTGAGTCACCTGCACTGACGAAACTAGAAGAGGTCATGGCCAAAACAGTGTGGGAGCCCCTAAAAGACACCAAGAACCTCATTATTGATCTACGCTATAACACCGGTGGATGCTCTACCTTTCTAGCCCTTATACTGTCTTATCTGCAGGACACTTCCCAGAAGCATCACTTTTTCACAATATATGACCGAATTCAGAACACAACAACAGAATATTACTCTCGTACCCAAATTACAGGCCCAACCTATGGCTCCAAACGTGGGGTTTATGTGTTGACCAGCTACTACACAGCAAGTGTTGGTGAAGAGTTTGCTTACCTGATACAGTCTCTACATCTTGGCACAGTCATTGGGGAAATTACATCTGGTACCCTAATGCATTCAAAGATGTTTCAAGTAGAGGGGACAGACCTTGCCATCACTGTCCCTTTCATAAACTTCATAGACAACAATGGGGAATGCTGGCTGGGGGGTGGTGTTGTCCCTGATGCCATTGTGCTAGCCGAGGAAGCTGTGGACCACGTTCATGATATTTCAGACTTTCATCAAGGGCTCAGGTCCCTCATGGAGGGAACTGGAGAACTGTTAGAAAAACACTACGCAATCCATGAAGTCGCCCTAAAGGTCAGTAAGGTGCTGCTGAGCAAATGGGTCGAGGGAATGTACTGGTCAGTAGTTGACTTTGAATCTTTGGCATCTCAGTTGACAACAGACCTTCAAGAGGCTTCAGGCGATCACCGCCTCCATGTCTTCCATTGCGACGTCGAGCCTGAGTTGCTTCATGACGTTGCAAAGATCCCTACAGCAGAAGAAGTTGGATATATAATTGATGCTTTGTTTAAAATTGAGCTTCTGCCAGGTAATGTTGGCTATCTAAGATTTGACATGATGGCAGATATAGAGGTGTTAAGAGCCATTGGTCCACAGCTAATAAAATTAGTCTGGAGCAAGATCACAAACACAGATGCCCTTATAATTGACATGAGGTACAACACTGGTGGTTATTCAACAGCAATTCCTCTACTGTGCACATATTTCTTTGATGCTGAACCTTTGCTGCATCTTTACACTATCTTCGACCGCACCACAACCACCATGACAGAGATCATGACATTACCTCAAGTCAGGGGTCAAAGGTATGGGTCCTCCAGGGACGTTTACATCCTCACCAGTCACATGACTGGGTCAGCAGCTGAAGTGTTCACCCGCACTATGAAGGACCTAAATAGAGCCACAATCGTTGGAGAGCCAACAATTGGAGGGTCTCTGTCAAGTGGAACCTATCAGATCAGGGACAGTGTTCTGTACGCTTCCATCCCTAACCAGGTTGTTTTGAGTGCCATCACTGGGAAAGTGTGGAGTGTTTCAGGGGTTGAGCCTCATGTTATTGCCCAGGCAAGTGACGCCCTTCATGTGGCACAGAGACTTATAGCAGGAAAGCTGTTGAAGAGAGAGCATGGGGAATAGCTCCTCATATTGTATTTTCATTTCCTTTAAAAAATTACTACTTAATTTTTCTTCTGTTAAGCCACCACTTTGACCCAAAAAAGTCCACATTTTAAGAGCCACGTGTTAGGACATGTGATCCACTGACCACAGACACAGTATGTAAAACAGTCTTGTCCTGTAATGATATTTAACAACTGAGTTATGTTTTTGCCAATTATTCCTTCATTTAAAGGCTGTAACCAGAGACGTCTTCTTGTCACAGCAGTCAGATTCACAGAAATTTATAGTCACAGGGTGTGTACCATGCCTTTTCACAAGAATATAGAAAAGGGAGAAACCAAGGGCTTGTGTAACTATTAGTAGCTTTAATATGAAATTTTATATTTAAAGTGTAGCTAATGCCTTCATCCAGACAGACTTGCAGTGAATGAGCATGGAGTCAGTGTACATCTCATTACAGGAGGGAACTTATCAGCTGTGGATAGGATCAACCCATAAAACTACTTATCTATTATGGCATTAAAAACAGTAAAGAGGATGTAATGTCTGATAACTGCTTAAAATTACAATTGCCTAATTTCACTGTGAACTGTGAGAAAGTGTTGAAAATTCCAAATGAATAATAAATCACAGAACATTTGTGTTTTTTAAAGTAAACTACATTGCACTGTTATTTATATGACAACCGTATAAACCCCCAGCTGTATATTTTATTCACATTATATAAGGTTGCCTCCTTCTCTCGTTTTATCAATTTCTGTCTGATTCCCTTTCGTTTCATTTTAAATGCCATCTATTGGTCAATGTTCTGTACTTTATGCATGAAAAGTGATTTTGATCATTATGTAATTGTATGTTGTGCTAATTTTCTTCATTCTTTATGACTGTCATGTGGAATGCATATTATTTTTGGGTCATTGTTTGCCCTTTTCACTTTGCACTGTGTTTTTTCAGTCTGCTGTATTAAATATCTCAGCTTTTCTGTTCCTTAACTACAAAACTTAACCAGCAGAGGGCGCAAGCACCAAACAGACTGAAACTGAATACTGCTGTTCACTTCCACACCACTTCAGAAAAGAGACAACCACCACCAAACAAGCAACACTACTGCAATCAAATGTATACTATTTATAAAACAATAAAGAAATTAGTGGTTCTGAATTGTTTTTGATTTACTTTCCTTATAATATTACTTACCTCAAAGAACTCAATGAGCAAACCACACAGTTTGTGTTGAATTATATGACAATCACAGGCTTTAATTCAACATTTTCTTGTGATTTCATTTGCAAAAAAATGGCACAAAACCTCCACATCTATGACCTCTATTTATATTTACTGACACCAAGGGGCTTAATAAGTTAAGAATGACTTGCCATTGTAAGATGAATATTTTCACCACCCTTAATCCCTTTCTAGATATTTGTCATTTACTGAGTTTACCTTATTTGACACAGGTAGCTTTAAATAGGTTTTCAAAATACCTTGTGTAAATTTAAGCCTCATATCTTTAGCAACACCTTCTTGTTACTACACCTACTTGGCTAAGTTGTTATTGCCTTACAGAAGCACTCGGGATAATACGATTAGAGGTTTATTGTGGGGTAAATCCTCTTATGTGTGTTTTAACAGAAACCTTGCAGCCAAAACAGTGCCATTTGACAAAGGACCTCTTGGGAGAAGGAGGTTCAGCTCTTCAGCAGCCACTTGCCATTTACTCAAACTAAACTATACTGACGAATATGGCTAGGGCTCTATTTCTGGTGGCATCTCTTTTAGTTTTAGGAAATGTTTTGTTTATCCATGCCTCGTTTGCCCCCAGCCTCATTGTTGATATGGCAAAAATCGTCATGGACAATTACTGCTCACCAGAGAAGCTGGTAGGGATGCAGGAGGCAATTGAAGCAGCCAGCAGCAACACAGAGGTTCTCAACATCCCAGACGCTGAATCCTTGGCTAATGTCCTGAGCTCTGGAGTCCAGACCACGGTCAGTGACCCACGACTGATGGTCTCCTATGAGCCAAACTACGTCCCTGTGGTTCCCCCGAAGATGCCTCCCTTGCCCCCTGAGCAGCTCGTTGCTGTCCTGCAGACCTCCATCAAGCTTGACATCTTGGAGGGCAACATTGGCTACCTGAGGATCGACCACATTCTTGGGGAGGAGGTCGCTGAAAAGGTTGGCACTTTACTCCTAGAGGTGGTCTGGAATAAAATCCTGCCAACTTCAGCTCTGATCTTTGATTTGCGCTACACCAGCAGCGGAGACATCTCAGGAATCCCCTACATTGTGTCTTACTTCACCGAAGCCGAGCCTCAGATCCACATTGACAGTGTATATGACCGTCCCTTGAACACAACCACTAAGCTGTTATCTATGTCCACACTGCTGGGGGACAGATACAGCATTACCAAACCCCTCATTATCCTCACCAGCAAAAATACCAAGGGCATTGCTGAGGATGTTGCCTACTGCCTCCAGAACCTGAAGAGGGCCACCATTGTGGGTGAGAAGACCGCCGGGGGCTCAGTGAAAATCGACAAAATCAAAGTCGCTGAGACTGACTTCTACATTACTGTGCCAACTGCAAAGTCAATCAATCCCATCACTGGCTCCACCTGGGAGGTTGTCGGGGTGACCCCTGATGTGGAGGTTAACGCTGAGGACGCCCTTGCTACCGCCATCAAGATCGTCAGCCTCCGTACCCAAGTTCCAGCCATCATCGAGGGATCAGCGACCCTGATTGCTGAAAACTATGCCTTTGAGGATATTGGGGCTGATGTAGCAGAAAAGCTGAAAGGGCTCCTGGCAGATGGCAAGTACAGCATGGTTGTCTCCAAGGACAACCTGGAGGTGAAGCTGTCTGCTGACCTGAAGACCCTTTCTGGGGACAAGAGCCTGAAGACCACCAGCAATACCCCAGCCTTGCCCCCCATGGTGAGACCTTTGTACATAAGATAGAATAGTTGTCATTGTCAACTCTTATGGTTGTCAACTCTCAAGGTTAAAACAAAGACATGTTTTTTGTTTTACTGTTGGTTTTTCAGAGACTAAAATGTTCCTAAAATAAATTTTGTCCTCTTACAGATCTTAAAATAACACAATTGTTATGCTACTAGAGATAGACAAACAGTAGAAGAGGCAAAATGCTTTTTACATTGTTAAAGTCAAATTATCACAAATTAGTATTGTATGTATTATTATGTGCTATTGGTATTATAAGGCAAATTTTAGCTCTAGTTTCTGCTTGTCTTTCTTGCCAGAATTACTCTCCAGAGATGTATATTGAGCTGATCAAAGTCTCATTCCACACCGACATTTTCGAGAACAACATCGGCTACCTGCGTTTTGACATGTTCGGAGACTTTGAGGAGGTCAAGGCCATCGCCCAGATTATTGTTGAGCACGTCTGGAACAAAGTTGTCAACAGTGATGCCATGATCATCGACCTCAGGTTCGTAATCCTGCTAACAGTGCAAGTCAGAGCTTATATTAAAAACTCTCAGTGTCCATTTGGGAATACAAATCATCCACTAAAGCTGCTAAAGCTCATCAGTCCACATCTAAATTTAGAGGACTTTTTTCTATTAACAGTCTATGCAACTTTTAAACGTGAACCACCAATAGATCTGGAGGATTGAGTGAATCTACTAAGAAAAGGGTTATTAGGATCATTTTGTTGATCAGTTGCTTAACAAACTCATTTGAATGTGACTTCTTATTTCAAAATCAACTGGCCCCCTCGCCAAGATGAGATGGTTTTATCAGTGCCTGCATAAATGAGAAGTTCACAAAGGATCATTCAATGTTATCATCAGTCTCTCCTTTCTATGATTGTTCTGTAACTGTATTTGCAGGAATAACCTTGGTGGACCAACAACAGCCATCGCAGGCTTCTGCTCTTACTTCTTTGATGCCGACAAGCAGATTGTGCTGGACAAGTTATACGACAGACCATCCGGTACCATCACAGAGCTCCGAACCTTACCCGATCTCACTGGTAATTTTTCTCAATCCACAAAATCACTTCTTCCCTTTGTCCACCACACATTTTTAACCTTGTTCTACCTCCATCTCATCCTCTTCCTTAGGCACAAGGTACGGCTCCAAGAAGAGCCTGATCATCTTGACCAGTGGAGCAACTGCCGGTGCCGCTGAGGAGTTCGTTTACATCATGAAGAAGCTTGGCCGTGCAATGATTGTTGGAGAGACAACTGCCGGGACCTCCCACCCAGCCAAGACCTTCCGTGTTGGTGAGACTGACATCTTCCTCAGCATTCCCACTGTCCACTCTGACACTGCCGCCGGGCCAGCATGGGAGGGAGCTGGCATCGCTCCTCACATACCTGTTTCAGCTGATGCCGCCCTTGAGACTGCGAAGGGCATCTTCAACAAGCACTTTGCAGGCCAAAAGTAAACCATGTCCTGAACTGGAGTTTCAACAGTCACTTTTGCTCTGGCAGCCAAATTGTTTCAAGATTTAGAATCTAGACTTGTGAAGAAGTGATGAATGTAGGTTGAGTACAAAGTGTAATCTGCTATTTCTCAATACCTAAGCCATTTTAGCCTGTTTATAATGTAGAGCAAAGGTTGAACAGGATTTACTTAGTTTTTATTTCTGTCAAATGCTACTCTGGGCTGTTGAAGGTTTTCAGAATGAATTTCTGGTTGAAAAGCTGGTGCGGTTGTTTTGTGAAGAGAGTATGTCTAAATCTGTGTCAAAGATAAGTTGCAACAGTAAAATAACTTTCAAAAATTAATTTTTTGAGAAGTCATGCGCAAAGGAAATTAAACAAAGTGAAGTAAACACATTTGTTATGTTGGATATTTGAAATACGGACCTCTGTAAAGTAGTCCGCTTGTCATTCTGGTAAGAAAATCATCATGTGATGTCCTCATTGCGTATGGGAAATATGCTGTATGTCCATTTTCCAGTGAATGTCATGTGGACCTACTTGGGTTGTATCAATTCCAGTGGTGAGACACAATAAAAAAAAAGAGAACTGATACAAAACAAGTGTGTGTTTGTCATGTTTCACAGAGGAAGCATACGATAAAAAAATGTTTTATTTTTACCATTACAAAATACTTTTTTAGAAACTATCATGATTTCCTAAGTTCCTTTTTAATTTTGTAGAAAACCAAATATAGCATATAACTGTCAGTTACAACACCATGAACCAACACCTGCAAAGAGAACAGAAAACATTTGTGGCGCCAATGGAATCATCCAACTGAGAAGCCACAATTTTTATTTTTATTTTTATCAAGATTGAAAGTGTATCACAAGCACAATGTGCTTTTGCTGCTGTTACGCAGCTTTTCATAGCTTGCCTTTTGTCAGGGACAGTATAATTTGAAGATTACACTGTGTTTGAGGCCAATTATGTCAAGTACAGTAGGAACAGGCAAGTCTTTGATGAGTGACAGCTTTGGTGGTTTCAGAGGTTTAGGTCCTGAATTTTTTAGCACTGTGTAATTTCACTCACATCTATCAAGGACTTGACATGTGGTCTTAGTATAAAATAAATAAACACATACAAAACCCATTTCTATTGTGCATACTGAATGCTCAGCCAAACAAGTAACCAAATTATCTTAATCTATGAAATGTCTTTAAATTTCGATTCATCTTATTAAAGAAAATGGTTTTAAAAAAAAGAGAGAAAAAAGAAAAGTAATTTCATGCAAGAGTACTTCCCTCAGTTATTTTANCAAGGACTTGACATGTGGTCTTAGTATAAAATAAATAAACACATACAAAACCCATTTCTATTGTGCATACTGAATGCTCAGCCAAACAAGTAACCAAATTATCTTAATCTATGAAATGTCTTTAAATTTCGATTCATCTTATTAAAGAAAATGGTTAAAAAAAGAGAAAAAAGAAAAGTAATTTCACGCAAGAGTACTTCCCTCAGTTATTTTTAAGAGAAAAAACATAATACCAAACATGTACCAGTCACTTGGCAATGTTAGTTGAATGTGATTATTCAAGTTCTAGTTTTTCCGTTAACCTTTTGAACAAGTCATAGTTAACAATAAATAATTCAAGGGCACTAGTGTAACACAATGCTACAGTTATATGTGTTACTAATTGAATATTACAAACCAAATATGAGAACAATGTGCAGAGACTATCTGTGGGAAGAATGTGTTTTAGGATGCAGGAACCATAAAGACAGGCCAGGACTGTTTTTATTTATCACTGCATATAATTTTAGACAGCGGTCTGAGTGTTAATGGGTGTGTTGTATACAAGTACAAGTGCCTGTTAAAGTGTATGAGTGGATGTGAGGCAGAGGAGCAGGGCTCTAGTAAGCAACAGACTTTCGTTTGTAAACCGCAAGGATTAGAGGGGATCAGTTTAGTGGGGGATAAGTCAGCACACATCAACAAGTGTTGAGACCCTAAACAGCGGCCAAAGGGTTAAGGGGCATTGTAAGTGTGTGTGGAGGGGGCTCGGGGGGGGGGGTCTAAGGCTTGAAACTCCACAACAGGACCTATCTTGTGAAGAAATCTGTCTGTTGCTCACTCTTTAGGAATCTGTTTGTCTGCCTGGTTTGAGTAAACATTAGACAGGACAACAGATTATAGTTAAATTGCACAAATATTTCCCAGAAGAGTGGCTCTTCCGAGAGGAAAACTCAGTAGGTAGAGCCAAAAAATAGGGCTTCCTTTTTTTTACTACAAACAACTTACATTCTGAAATGCACTATTAACCACCACTTGGTCATTTTAAGCTTAAACGAGGCATGTTCTGTTGTGATCCACATTCAAAAATGCTAAATATGACCACATCTTGTTTTGGAGATGTGTTTTTGATGAATGATTGCTGTCAGCGCTAACCACAGTTTGAAATACACTGCATTTACTTTGACTGCTTTACAATAAAAGTCACTCCATGTTTCACTTAAAAGTAAACATTTTTCTTTTCTTTTCTCTTCTTTTTTTTTTTTTTTTTTTTTTTAAAGCCATAGCAGTCATAGCAGAAAGTTATAAAAGATGCGCGTGGGACTGGTGGATAAAATCTAAAGGACTGTGACTTTATGCAGATACATTTATGATGGTGCAATTCTGGGGCCATGTTTTATTTCACCATAGATATATTGATGGTTCAGACAACAAACTGTCCTCTGTGTGTCTTCTTTATGCATTGGGACATCTGTAGCTAGATTTTCACAGTAAATCATGGATTAGATTCTCATGGGATTTTTAATTTTATTCGAAAAATAAAAAGGTCAAATTAGGTTTTCTTAGTGTCCCGTTCAGAAGAAATTATAAGTTGAACTGCAGAAAAAAGTTATCAGTCATTGTGTTGTTAAATATTGAATTCTGTCCTCTCTGCTACTGAACACAGTGGTATCTTGATGTATGACATGGAATACATTATTCCATCACCAGCAATTAGCAGCTTATTGACTTTAAATTCACTGCTGTTCTGAAAACCTTCACCTGTATGATTTTATGTTTAAATTTAGACTTTAGTGGGATTAACAACAAGGGAGAACAAAGTAGGCTAATCAGACTAATTAAGGGAAACTTATTTTTCTGGGGAAAAGCTTCTGCTCTGAGAGTGTAATTGCAGAGGATGAAGCTGCTCGTGGCCCCTGCAGCAGCACAGTGAACACAAACAAACTTAAATAATCCAAAATGATAAAACATTTGATAAACACATTTGTTATCCGGTGAAAAGACCTCTGTGACAACAACATCATCCCCTCCTGCCCTGCGCAGTTTCCCCGCAAAATGCGCCAGTGTGCCACGTGAGGGAGGCGCAAAATGGGATCTTGACCCATTTTTTCCTCTTCCTCTCTCCTCCTCAGGATGAAATATGAAACCTGGTCCATTTCAGCCAAGTCTGTCCCCTGGGCTCCCAGTTCCTCCAGCGCCAACACTGCTCTGCATTACCCAGTTTCATTTGGCTTTTTCAGACTTAAACCAGTTTTGACACTTTGACAGGACACTTTTATTCTTTTTTTTCCCTTCCTTCTTCTTCTTTTTTTTTTTTTTTACGAACCACCCACTCCAACATTTTATCCATTTTCTGTCTTTGGATTTGTTTCTGCAAAGTTTTTGAAACGTTTTTCCTGCCAGCTGCATGTGGATTGCGAGCTATCCGAAACTTTTATTTTGTAATAAGCTCCCTTTGAGAGACAGCATCTCTCCGCTGGCACTGTGACCGGGATGCGGGTGGTCGTGATTGTAAACTGAGCGCAAAACATAAGAGACGTGGGAGCATCGCCTGCATCCTATTGTCTCTGGGATGTAAGAAGCCACTGAAGTACTTTGGGTTGTTTTTTTTCTTTTCATCCTCAAAGGAATTAACTTTTGTTTTATCACGAGGACAAATTATGGCGAGATTTTTGTTGAACATGCGTCTTGTTCTGGTTTTGTTCGGATTATTTTTGCTCTCTTCTCCATCTGCAAGAGCCGAGCCGGAGCTGCAGGACGAGGAGGAGGAGGAGAGTTCCTGTCAGGGCGCTTTTGACCTGTATTTTGTGCTTGATAAGTAAGTGGAACCAGCTTTGGCACGATTTGCTATTCATAAAGTCTAAGGCTAATAAGAGTAGGTATAACGCTGATGCTGCAGCAGTGAAAGAAGATGGCAAAACACCAAAAAAAAAACAAGCTGGCATCTGCATTAACTTGATGTGTTACAGTTAAAGATGTATTTCTTTATATCTTTATTTCTGCCTAGTTTGTGTCCTGCTGCGACTGAAGACAAAGTAACTCAATGGCAGCCTAAAGTTTCAGCTTCTAACATGAATGTTTTTTTTTTTAAGTTTGGGCTGTCCTGTTGAATTTGGCTGATTAGCACCGCTTAGCATCTGTGTGAGTGCGTGCGTGCGTGAGTGCGCGCGCGCGATGACGCTGGAAAGGAGGCTGACTTGCAGAGAGTACAGTTTGCTGAACAAGCACAAAGACGGGTGACGATTTGGATGCTACAGTTAAAAAAAAAAAAAAAAAATCGCTCTCTCTAAATTTAAACCAGAACTTTTGAAGTTTTACATTTAAAAGAAATTGTCCAAGAAACGGGACTTTTCTTCTAGAGGGAAATCAGAGGGACTTTTTCTTCTCTTTTTACTCAGTGACCGCTCACCATTCACTCTTTCATTTCCACTCTGTACGCCCACATAGGAAAAATGTTGTGGTTGTGTGACATCTTAGCACTGGACTTCAGCAGCTGGACTCAGACTGCCGGGGAGAAAATAAAATGTCAGGGAAACTTCTGAACTGCCTGCTGTTTTCTCTGTGCATTCACCATTTATAGACACCAAAGTGCAGTGACATATGTTTTCTGGCATTATGTAACACAGGAATCATCCTTTGTGCGATACTGTGATCCAATATCCACAAGAAATTGGAGACTGAAGGTGCTTTCTTGTTGAATTCTAAGATCTAAACCTCAATGCTGCATTCATTATAATCATTGTAACCAAACCTTCCTCATTGTAAACCACTGGGGCAAATTTGATGGAGAATCTGCTACAGCACAATAAGAACCTTTGTGATGAGCAACACAAAACTTTCTTGCCCTGTTATTTTTAACTATCAGGTTTCTATCTTGAGATGATCTCCCTTCTGATGAAAGCATATTGTTGTATCAGCTCTTCTCCTTCCTCTTGCGCTGATGGAGCAATGCCAGGAATGGGGAGGAGAAACAAGAAAGGACAGGAAGCAACAACATTTATAGAGAATGTGGTCTTAATTTGGAGAAGGAAAAAAAAAAAAAAGGTTGCATGCAGCACCTTTAAAAGGCCTATTTCTGAGGTTTGGTGAGAAGTTTCATACAGATTTGCATCATTAGTGACTATATAATGACTTATATGTCAGTGTTTGGATGGCTTTATCCAAAGGACTCACACTTTTTACACTGATCTGTAGTTACTCCCTTTGTATAGTGACCGTATAAGCACCTTGCTATACATCCTGTGCTTCATAAACCTTTTTCCTACATTTGTTTCTTGAGCAGAAAAGAACAGAAACATTGTGGGACTGCATCCCAGATGTGAAAGGCAGCTATTGGCTTGTGCTGTGTGGTAAACACCAGCATATGCTACAAATAAGGAAACTGCTTCTTTTTTTTCTTCTTTTCTGATGTCAGATGCTATTGTTAGCTCTCCTGCGTGCTTTGGGGTCACTAACAAGGTTTAGTAATCAGTTGTGGACTTCAAACCTTCAAACAGAAGGAAGCTCATTAGAGACCAGTCTCAGCCCTCCTACAGCCGTCCCTCAACCCCATCCCTCAGGCCTGAGCTGGTTTTATGAGACACCGTCTGAACTCTGTGCCCTGGTTGATCCATATGGAAGGCGTAAAGATCAGTGTGAGGAGGCTGTAGCAGGCCTGACACTGCCATAACTACAGCAATGCTGTAATCTGCACATTCAAAAAAAAACATCTTAAATGATAATAATGTGCGATGGGGCGAATTTGCCGAACTGATTCGTATCAACATGATGTCTGCAGATACGGGTTCATTTGCTTTAGAATGAGAAACATGCTTTGGGCACCGTGTTGAAGGTGGAGGAGAGGGTCATGAGTTTTACAGTAATGAGGAAAGATAACTGCTGCGTTGGCTCATAAAGTTGACTCCAAAGGCATTTATTGCCGACTCAAGCAGATGATGTCACGTCACGGCTTGAACATGTCGGACAGTGCTCTCTGAGACATATAGGCGGCCGCAGTCTGAAGCATACAGCCGGCGGGTAATGACTGCAAGGTTGCCAGTTTGGATCTGGGACATTTAGATGGACTGGGTTTTGGAAAATTTGGGCTTCAGCAAGACACATTATCCTCAGTTGCTAAGTGGTGTGTATAATTTAAATTGTATACGATACGCTACAGGAGAAGCAGGGTTGTTCCATTACCAGCTAGACGCTGTAGCTGTGCTGATTGGCAGCGACAAGTCAACAATGATGTGACCGAAATAAAAAGCTGCAACCACAAAAACATGACTGTAGTTATCCCTTCAAATTCTAGCAGGTGTCAAACTGACTTTTTGCACTAATTAAAAACGTAATGCTTTAATAAGGAATAGGCTAAGACACAGCTGACGAAGCAAACAACATGCTGCTAAAACAGCTGATACAGTACACAATATACATATAATGCAAGTGCTTCCGAATTAAACTGTTTGTTACAAGGCTGTAGAAAAAAACTGTACCTGCCAATAAAAGTTTGAAATGTATGTTCTGATCAGATAAAATGTGGGAACATATGGGCCACAGACAACAGCCATGCTAGTGTTAGAGGAAATGTCAGAATGCTAGGACGCTCACAGTGACGATGCTAATATGCTGATGTTAGGGGTACAATATGTAACAACGTCAACCGTCATAGTTTAGTGTGTTAGCATGCTAACATTTTCTAATTAGCACTAAATAGAAAGTACAGCCGACATATTGCCATTCCTGGAGCTACACGGTTAGCGTGGATTAAAATGTACCAAAATCTAACAGCTGCATAATTCAGGAGCATAGACCTTTTAAAGAGATTTGCTTGTTGCTTCATTTCGCTGGGAAATATAGAAACCATAAGTCTAAAATATATAGGTGTACACCTCTAAGCCCTGCATGTGTGCATATTAGGATGTATATATGCTGATTCAGAGCAGGCAGGCCGCAGCTTGCTGCTTTATATAAAACACAGTGCCAGAGGAATTTTGAGTGCGTTCATATGGCAGATAAAGGAATTCACCTATAGGCCAAATGCTGATGTTTAACTCTACTTTTTAAAATTCAGATGTCATTGAGAGATTAATAAGTAATCACACAGCTATGTATTCTGACGAGCTGTCTTCCCCTCTTTCCCTTTATGCCATTGCCTCTTAGGTCAATAATAATAATAATAATCTATTCTGAATGGCCAAAGTCAAAGGTCTTGTCCTCATTTTGAAGAACACTCATCATCGCTTCAAAATGTTTCGTGTTTGTTGTCGGTGTAGTCACGAGTTAGCGCTCCAGTTGGGCATTCGGCCACGCCGCCTGAATCCAGGCAGGTCAGCGGAAAACCCAAACTGCAGCTGCAGTCCATAAATACTTTCAATATGTCTAGCTGTGGAATACGTTCGAGCTGTGGAATGACACCCGCTCTGTGTCATTTGGCCTCTCACAGCATGTTGCTTTGGTGTTTTCAGCAGGAAGAAATGTCTTGTTAAATGGGTATCAGTCCTTCAGGCACTGAGGGACACAAAAAGGACGAGGAGGAGGTTTAAAAGCGGATGAATGCCAGTCAAACTCTAATCCAAACCTCCTGGTAATATTCCATACATGACTCTGCCTCAGTTAACAGAAAAAAAAGGGCATTACAAAGTACATTTTTAGATGGTCACATAAAGACTGAAGAAGAAAAAAATCAGTATCTTTTAACGCACATCTCAAATACCTCTCCACCAACGAGTCATCCAATCGTTTTTTCCAAACAATTCCTCTCGGTTTTGGAATAGACGTGAAGCATTAGCTCAGAAATCACGCAGTAAAGACTTTGACTTCTGCAATGGCTGTAAAAGTAGGTTAGTGGTTTTAAACAAACAAATCCTTGTGCCCAGTCAGTTAAATTGGAGCACCATCATTGGATACAGCCTGGGGTGGTGTGGGTAGGCCCAGCTGGAATGGCAGACAGCCTCCTTAGAGGAGTTGGGATTTTTTTATTTTATTTTTCCTTCTCCAACACTTTGAACCGTGAGAACGAAGCTGAGAGCTGCTAAGCCATCAGACCCTTGGAGCTTTTTCCCACATGCCGTCATCCCATCCCCCTCTGGGACAGGAGTGGCTGTTGGATAGTTGAGAGTGGACTTGGTTAAGAAATTAAAGAAGAAAAACAGATACTCCTTGACAATAATTTGAAAGGGCTTAGTATCAAACAAACTTGCTTCAGCTGTAATATCCTTTGCTCGAGTTATAGAATCGCAGGCATGGTCAACAATTCCCCTGACATGTAAAACGGTCGTTTTTTTTTTATTTGAGACATTAAATAAAAGGAACCTTAAAACAGTACAGCGAATAAGCTGTAAACACAACAATGGAATATCATGACATTATGGCTGGAATCGAGGCTGATGCAAACGGTGAGACTGAACCAAGGTTGTGGGCTGTAAAACGCTAAAACACTTTGTAGAGCTCAGGGGAACTGCAGAGTTGGGTAATAATTCTCCTTGGGTTCACCCCTCTCTCATTACACATAGTGATTTCATCCACTGGATAAAATATTGACAAGAGCTGTTTTTTTTTTACTTTTAACAAAGCCCGGGTGTTTTCCGAATTGGCATTTAAAGGGCCACACACACCAGTGGTTTTGTATCTCTTTGTCTAGTTACTGGAAATCATTTATTAGATCACAATTAACAAGTTATTTGCGGCACGGCGGTTCAGCAGATAGCACTGCTGCCTCACAGTGAGAAGGTTCTGTGTTTGAACCCACGGGCTTGGGGCCTTTCTTTGTGGAGTTTGCATGTTCTCCCTGTGCCTGCGTGGGTTCTCTCTGGGTGTTCAAAAGCACCACTATGCCCA